AACGAACTAGGAGCGACGGCTAAAACCTCTTCAAAGTCACTCAGGAGGGCGACCTTGACAACATATGTCAAGGTCAAGGTCATTGGGGAAGGCTCCCCTCTTCTGCATTTTTACCTAAAGATGATCTTGGGATGGTCTTGAATATAAGATCTGACTATGAATACCGGCTTTATATAGGGCTGGTTTTTCCAACCTTTTGGTAAACTAATAATAGTTAAATTATACATTTTTGTCTAATCTGAAAGAAAAACAAAGACATATATGATTTAACTATTACCTAGTTTACCAAGAGATTGGAAAAACTAGCCTATATTTACATTATTATTGTACATATGTATGTATGTATATATATGTATTCTCTTATATTATTTTATATTTATGTAGGATGCTTATGTATCTTTTGTATGTAGCTAACACGGTGCAACATAGATTTGCAAGTATGAAGCATACTTTTATGACAAATTATAAAAAAGAACGTGAATCAAAAAACAGATGCAGTGGAAAGGGCACGGACGACATGTATAAACCAAAACGGGCTTTTTATGATAAACTTAAATTTTTGAAGAAAACAAATGCTCAGGCAACAACTACGTCAAATTTGCAAAGCTTGTCAAGTGTATCTTCTAGTGAATGCGCACAAGATATATTTGAAAATATCGAGTATTTAGCAGATGATCTTGCTGATATACCACAATTAAATATTCATAATACACAGGTAAACTTTATTGCTAAATGTTAGTTTTACAAATTAAAATACATAGAAATTTAAAATAATGTAACATATTAGCTTAAAATTTGTATGTTTTTTTTAATAATACAAATGCCTGAAATTGCATGCATTAATACTTATTTTTCTCTATAATAGTAGATTATATTCTTATATTATAACATTTTTTATTTGATATTTTTATCACTTTATATATGTATAATGAAACAAACATATAATAAAATGTTTAAAAAATTTTTTTATTTCAGCAATTGCAACCTATTTCTACTGATAATGAAACTCAGTCTTATAATAACTGTGATGACAATTCTTCGTGCAATATTGGAAATATTCAACTACATAATTCTTTATCATCATCTTGCAAAACATCTTTATCCAGTTGTGAACTTACAGATAATTCTTCAATAACATCACCAGTAACTTTTTCTCCTTCTACCTCAAAATCATCTACAGATGACAAAGAAAATATGTACGTGAAAAGAGGGGCAGCCAAAAAGAGAAAAGAAACATCAGTAATGGAAGAAGCAGTTTTGGCAATTAAATCATTAACCAATCAACCTATACCTGCGTTTCACAATGATTCAGTTGAACATTTTGGAAACTTTGTGGCAGCAAAGTTACGAGAAATGCAACCCATTGATCGTAAGCATTGTGAGGAAGAAATTATGAAAACTCTTTTAAATTATTAATTTATGAAACTATAAATAGTACAAAATAATAGAGTTCTTTTTGCACATGTTACATTTAAAAAGTTGATATGTATTTTTATTTTTTTAATATATATTATTTTTATTTTTCCAAGAAGTACAAAAGTTTAAGTACAAAAACTTAATACCTGTTTCGGATCGACTGAGGAAAGCCTCAGGCCGAAACGTCTCCCGGAACCGCCTCACGTGAGACA